AGTGAATGGGTGCCGTCAGAATGAGAGTCCAAACAGCTGATAAAAACATCACTATGATCCACAAGTAATGTAGTGAATGGGTGCCGTCAGAATGAGAGTCCAAACAGCTGATAAAAACATCACAATGATCCACAAGTAATGTACGTAATCTACAAACTGCATGTTTGTAATAAATCCATCAACATGTTTTTAGCTTCAAACCTCTATCCAGTCCTCTATCCATAATATGTTTCTTCCTTCAGTGAAAAAGTCTTCTCATCTGAATCAGGAGAGAAATCTGTACAGACCAAGCACAGACAACAAATATGTTGGTGGATTTTGATGTGAGGCGACAACGGGATGGATTTTGTCAATGGGGGATTTATGGATTATGGATGTTATTATGGATTATACACTGGTATTTCAGCCAGAAGTGATAGTTAAAGCACCTTGATGATGGATTTGTTTCTTACAAACACACAACTTTTCTCTTCACAGATATTAATTGATGGACTGGAGTGGTGTGGATTACTTGTGGATTATTGTGATGTTTTTATCAGCTGCTTGGACTCTCATTCTGACGGCACCCATTCATTGCAGAGGATCCACTGGTGAGCAAGTGATGGAATGCTACATTTCTCCAAATCTGTTCTGATGAAGAAACAAACTCATCTATGTATTGGATTGCCTGAGGGTGAGTACATCTTCAGCACATTTTCATTATTGGGCAAACTATTTCTTTATTAAGTTCGGGAACCCATGACCAAGAGAAAACAAGACAGTACGCAATTATCTGGACGTGCATTATTAAAACAGAATATTCCATCACTATTAATTATTTACAGTCTGTCAGATTCACATAACAAGGGTTTTTCCCCACATGCTGATGACTATGCAGGTATTCGTTTCGATAAAATGTCATCAGCCTCTTCTGTCATCTGTCTAATGTTTCCTCCCTCATTCTTTATACAAAGAAGTATCTTTTTTGCTCCAAAAACATTCAAATGTAATTTCCTTAAAAGTAAAGCTAAGAGTGATATCAAGGTCAAACAGAGATGGTGTGTCCTTCTGTGGCGCAGGGGGGCGAATGTATTTCCTGATGCTTTTAAAATGTCGAAACTTATTATGCTCAGAAAACCACAGTGGCAGCGGCAGCCTGTCCGGGTTCATTCCACCCACTCTCTCGTCAAGCAAAAAAGACGGAGACCTGTCAAACAACACCTGAGACAGCTAAAAGACATCAAGCAGTCTGAGAATGACTAAAACATAGGCGTAAATGCAGCATATGGAGCAAAAGAGAACCTCTAGATACTCCTTCAAAGCTCAGGAGGTCTCAGTTGAGTATTTTATGCATGTACGTTGTCTCAGATGTTTCTCCGAGATAAAAAATAGTCACAAATGAGTCAGCAGTTGACGTACAGTAGGAGTATAGAGTTATAAAATAAACATGAACAGCAGCTCAGATCATTTGATGGGACTTTGGTCATATTGAGATCTTTGACTTTGAGATATTGGCAAAATGGAGCACAGTTGGAAACTCTAGAAAAGAAATGTGAGATTACTTACTTTTTCTCAAGAGAAATATATGAGAAGCAGGAGAACTCAGGTTTCCATATGATCTTCAGTTGATATCATTGCTGTCTGGGAGACACGATACAAACATTAAAGAGATCGATCTGTAATTTTTATTTCCTATAAATTAGAATCTACATATAACAAATCTCAAAAACGGAACTTTCAAAAACCAATACTAGAATATCAGAAGCTATGATAAAGCCTTGAATGCAATCTGATTTGCTTTGGATAAAAGCATCTGCCAAATGCATAAATATAAACAATACTGTCTGAGGAAAATGTGAGTGTTTTGCCGTTGCAAAATTCTGCCACCACGATAGCGTGTTCTGAGTAGTTGCCTGGGCGTTGCTATGCAGTTACTTAGCCATTCTAAGTGGTTGCTTGTGTTGCTGTACAGTTTCTGGGGTGTTCTGGGTAGCTCCCAGGGTGTTGCTGTGCAGTTACTTATGTGTTCTGAGTGGTTGTTTGTGTTGCTATGCAGTTACTAGGGTGATCTACGTGGTTGCTTGTGTTGCTATGCCGTTTCTGGGGTGTTCTGAGTGGTTGCCTGGGCGTTGCTATGCAGTTTATTAGGTGTTCTAAGTGTTTTTCTGATTCTACACAGTTAATCATGTGTTCTAAGTGTTTTTGTGTGTGTGTTCACCATTCGGGTGTTCTGGGTGGTTTCCAGGGTGATGCTATGCAGTTACTTATGTGTTCTAAATGGTTGCCAGACCATTTCTATGTGGTTACTGAGGTGTTCTGAGTGGTTGTTCGTGTTTCTAGGGTGTTTTAGGTGATTGCTTACTGGCTCAGCTCAAACGAGCACCACCCACATTCCTCTGAGATTCTTGATTTGATGCAAATCGTAAGTCTAAACGCTTTCAACATTACTGAAGTTTATTCTATGAACAGGTTACATTACTTCTTTCCTTGAAGAATGAATGGCCTTCCTCTCATAAGTTCCACTCCAGGGTCACTGCCACAGGTTTCCAAAAATAAACTTAACACATAATCACCTTTCATAAAAAAGCAGCAGCATCTTCTCAGCAGATCCCCTAATAAAGCCCTCATTACTAACATAGAAATGTCAGGGGGGAAAAAAAAGAAAAAGCTTTTAGTGTAAATGTCAGATCTCAACAGGTTCTGACAGGAAACGCTTTTAGAGTATACGCCCGTTTTCCTGAAGGAATAGAAAATACATCAGGTGGAATATATCGATACACACACAAGTAGTGGGTGTTTTCTAGTTTACTTACAATAAGATAAAGGTGAATGAGTATCGATAGTGTTTGCGCAAAAGGTATATACACAACATAAATAACACAAATACTCATGCTAACTTGAACTGTACGTTACGTGCTAATCATATAGAGTAAGTCACGCTGTGAATACGCTTTTCCCGTAACACACTAAAACAAGAATAATGAGGACAATCTTATTTTTGACTAAAATTAAAATGAATGTCAATTTATTTGGAATCTCAAACAAGAAACTGTAAAAATTAACATAAGGGTAAGTAAATGATGCTTCTGGTCCAGAATACGCGATTTAAAAGACCTTCAAAGATGAAGTAACTCAGTTTGTCCTAGACAGACATAAATTCTCACGAGGGAAGTTTTGGATACCAGGTTCTTAAGAGAGAAATATAACAGATCTGACCTTAATATGAGAACACATCAAGAAATGATGAGAGACCGATAGAAAGACTGAGAGAGTGACTGAAAAAGATTTGACAAGACAACCCTGGAGAATCTTTCCTTGAAGCACGAAGAGCCTTTATTCAGGACTTCAATACAGGTTAAGCTCTACCGACAGCGTTTGTCCATTACCACAGAAGCAGAATTATTACTATTACTGTGATTATCTGGTTACATTACAATAGGAAACTTTTAGGCGACGGTGGCCATTTTTGTTTTTTAAAGGGGTCATAGGATGCCCATTTTCCACAAGCTGATATGATTCTTTAGGGTCTTAATGAAAAGTCTGTAACATGGTTTGGTTAAAATTTCTCAATGGTAGTGTAAAAAACACCTTTTTTACCCTGTCAAAAACAGCTCTTTTCAGATCAAAACAACTTGTAAAAGTGCATGTAGCATCCTATGAACCCTTTAAATCAGGCCTCAAACTTATAGAAAATTGCAAGTCAGAAGGACAGAGATATCTAACAAAATATGTTCCAGTTAAGTTCTGAATTTCTAATTTTAATTTTTTTTTAAATCAATTAAAAATAAAATTAGATGAACATTCAACTAAAATATTTTTGAAAAATCTTGTGTAAATGTTTTTGTGCTAATGTTTCAACAACCTTATTAAAGAATTAGTTCACTTCCGATTTACTCACCCCCAGTGTTCATGTCTTTCTGTCTTCAGTCGCAAAGAAATTAAGGTTTTTGAGGAAAACATTCCAGGATTTTTCTCCATA